GTGCACGGGTGCTGCAGCAGCTCAGAAGACTCCTTGAAGTGCAGCTCGCACACATTGCAGCGGAACAGGTGGTGCTCGCCCGAATGCGCATACATGTGGCGCACCAGGTGAGAGCGGTGCTTGAAGGTCTTCTCGCAGACCGCGCACTTGTACGGCCGCTCCGAGCTGTGCGTGCGCTTGTGATGCACCAGGTGGGACGACTGGCTGAAGCTCTTGTCACACAGCGTGCACTTGTAGGGCTTCTCGCCTGTGTGGATCCGCTCGTGCCGCGAGAGCTCCGACAGGTGCTTGAAGGGCTTCTGGCAGATGGGGCAGCTGTAGGGCTTGTCGGCCTGTTCAGCAGGGGCGACGGCAGGCGGAGGGGGTGCTGGGGGCAGTGACGGGGCGGCAGTGGCCGCGGCCTCTGCCGCCTCGGCGGGCTTGTAGGTCTTCTCGCAGATGGAACATTTCACGAGGCCGCCAGTGCCGCTGTGTGCGCTGTGGTGCTGCGCCAGCGACGTGAGCAGCGAGAAGCCCATCTTGCAGACGCCACAGACAAAAGGCTTCTGTTCTGCCTGCACACACTGGTGCTCCAGCAGGTCGGTGGCCTGGTGGAAGATTTTGAGACACTGCGTGCACTGGAACGAGCGGTCGTGGCCCGCCAGGCACTGGTGCTCGTGCGGACTGGACAGGTGCGCCAGGTCGTGACCGCACACGCCACACTTGGGGCCCGGCTCTCCTGCTGCCTGCAACGGCGCGTGCTGCGGGGGCTGCAGGCCTGGGTCGGGCTGCAGGAGGATGCCATAGACCGCACAGCCCAGGGGGTTCTCAGCCGTGCCTGGGGGCAGTGTGTGCTCAGCCAGGGCCGGCGGTGGTTCCGCGTGGTGCTGCGGCTGCGGTGGCTGCGGCTGCTGCGGCTGTGTCTGTGGCGGCTGCTGCCAGCTTTCCGACATGCTTGGAAAGATGAAACAGGGTTTGGAGAGTAATGGCTTCAGTTTCCCGCTTAAGGTGACCCACAACAGAGAGAGAAGTTGCCCGGGATCAGGTACGAAAGAGGACCTCAGACAAGGCACAGAGGGACTGGTCAGGCGGCCCAAGTCATTAACCAAGACAGACTACAAGGCTCTGCCTACAGGACTGGAGTCTTCGAGGCAGGGTGCCAGCAATGACAGGGAGGCTCTGCCTTCCCTGAGGATTGGTTCTGTAGAAAAGAGAGAAATTGTGAGCTTGAAGTGGGGGCACACAGCTGTTCTCGGGGGCCCTCTCCCTGATCTGCCTGCACTTGCCACATTGACATAAACCACATCAGGGAAGCAAGAGGCTCTGGGCTGGGACATCTGCTCCCGTCACACACTACCAAAGAAGTCTGCTGGCAGCTCAGCTCCCTCAGCAAAGAGGATGATGGCTGTCTCCATGCCCACTCACCTTCAGTTCCCCATCCCTGGGCTGTCATCCCAGCCTCCCAGCTTACTGCCAACCCTCTTCAATTGGCTGTCTCACAGGTGATAGTCTGGGGTTATCTGCCCACAAAACAAAGAAGTCACGAGTTCTGCTCATGCTCCAAGGAAATAAGAAGGGGAAGACTGACCAGGGAAGGCCCTAGTATCCAAAACAAGAAGTTTAGTAACATAACTTTTTTTGCAGAAAACATCTTGCTTGGAAGCCCAATACATAAGATATTGGTTTTATCTAAAAGTAGAGAGGCTCTGGTTGAGGCCTCCCTGAGGCCTGCCAGCTCCTCGCCTGTTGCTGCCCTGAATCTCAATGCAGGACACAACTACTCATAAGAACAGACTGCTGGATCTAAGAGGCCAGACCTCTCAGATCTGAGGGCCCCATAGCAAATAGCTTCAGTCAGTCAATATTTAAAACAATTACATGGAACTGAGGACCATCTCAGAAAACTTCTCCTGTGAGGGGCTGGCCCACATTCCTCTCAACTCTTCCGCAGGCCCTCCACCCTGACCATGTGTCTGTTCTCTCTTCACACAACAGGTGGGAAGGCTTTGCAGGGACCTGAGCCAATGCCTGATAGGGGTTGGATGATAGGTCCACAGACTTATGCAGCCTTGATGTATACATCGAGAACTTCCCCAGTCTAGTCATCTTCCCGAGCACCAAAAAAAAAAAAAAAATCCTGAATCCCCTGAATCTGATGGTGTTAAGGCCTGCAGGAAAATGCAAGCAATTTCTAATTTGCCTCTGCAATGTGGAAGCAGCATGCTAATCACAGAGCATTCCTCCCCATCACCTTCCTGGAGACAATCTTGTCCCCTTACTCCAAGTCTGTAACATTCTGGGAAATCAGTGGAAGGTAAAGACCACCCAGCCCAGGCAAATCTCTAACTCACCACTTTGTGGCAGCATAAGGTAATGACAGCGAGAGGGAGAAACTTTTAGAATCAGATGCAACCCACTGTCAGGTTCCCAACTCCTCTGCCTCTAACTTTGAAAAGTTTCTGTTTTCTCCCGATGAAAAGAGAAGGAAGGGGATGCCTTCACAGGCCAGCCTGACCTCTAACTGTTCTGCAAAGAAACATAAGAGTCAAGCTAAAAGCTGTCATGCTCAGCATCTTTCTGGGAAGGGAAGAAGGAAAGGGCCGCTCCTCCGGGTGGAGGCAGCAGGTTGCATGAGTGAACAGGTACCAAAGCTTCTCCAGGAAAGAGAGAAGCAGGGCTACTCTTTGTGAGGTCCAGGTCAGGCTGGGCCAATCCAACTGTTTTTTCCAGCATGAATGGCAGCCAGACCCAGGATCCCCAGCCCTGGGCCCCCAGCTCTGCCGCCCACCCCGGCTCCTGTCCAGGAAGGTGCAGCCAGGAGGCCTCTCTGATCACTCAGCAAAGAGGATGAGAAACTAGGGTAATAAGGGAGGCAAGGGGAGGCCCCCACCTGCGCCCCACCCCAGCCCTTCCTCCTCCTTGAGAAACAGAATGAAAGCTGATCACCTCCCGGCCAGCACTGCCCGCAGACCCAGCTGGGCTGTCTCCTGTCAGCCCTCCTGGGAATGGCCAGGCTACTGCGGCCCGAGCGCCGGTCCCACGGGCGATTGGGCCAGAGGAAGGCCCCAGGGCTGCAGGCCGGGCCCGG